CAAACAATGGTTCCCCACTCCAGGATGTTCTAGGGCAGCACAGTCAGAAGAGAGGAAAGATCATTTTATTGTGGACATCACCGTAGCGGGGGCCAGGAGTCACAGCTGATGAACAGGAATCAGCACCTGCAACAACAGTCACAGAGCTCTGAGAAAACTGGGAAGGCAGGAGGAGGCAGGATTTTGTTCCCCCTGGGAGAGCAGCCCCTCAGCCAAAAGGGCCACCAGTGAACTCCCACCTGGCAGCAGCAGCCTGAGCATGGCAGAGCCAGGATCCTCTGTCCTCCCAGACTCCCTGTCCCACATAACAGGCTTCCTCACAGCACTGACAGCAAGGACATACCAATGCTCCTAGTGGCTCTCTGACCCTCTCCATCACCCTGACTGGCACCTTGGGACTCTGTCTGCAAAGTGGAGAGCCAAGCAGTGAGTTGGAGGTGGCTTAAGTCCTGATCCCCTCCTGCCAAAGCTGAACCGAAAAATCACAAGATTTTTAAATACTTGTATATAATGGTCCTTTTTATTTGCCACTAGATTTCAGTTGTTATGAAAATAGCCACATTCACAAATTGCTAGAAATGGCTTCTTTAAAACAAAACACAACCAAACAAACACATAAAAAACTAAACAAAAAACCACACACAACAACAACAACAACAACAACAAAGCAGCTTAAACAAAATAAGTGCCAGGTATTTGTGAAATGACAAATGACTCAACACTGAAACTGAAAGACAAAAGAACCAACATTGTGAGATTCATGAAAAAATCGTTGAGATAGGAAAATACCTAAGAAGGGCCAAACAAGACAGAGCAGGAAAGACCAGCCTGTGATGCACTTGGACACTGATTCCCTGTAGAAAGGATTGGAAGTGCTGAAAGATCCTGAATGTCAACAGCCTTCAACCAGCAAGTAATGCCATATCCAACATGCCTTTACGTACGCGCCCTTGGCTCCTGGGGCAAACTCCAGCAAACAACCTTCGAGACAGGTATTTCTGAGACACGCCTGCTCTGCAGCAGATGGGCAGCGATTCTGTGTGCGACCAAATGACTCAGTCACCAGGACCATCTCCTCAAACACCAGTTTACACAACCTGTTACTGGGAGCCCCAGAAGACTGACTTCTCCACTGGATTTGTGCACGGCCAGAGATCGAACCCCTAAGGGCAAAACTCTTGACCGTAACAATTCAGGGGGCAACAAGAAGCAAGGAAGCCACATGAAATAAATGTCAGGAGAAGGGTGCTGCTCCTGGCCCTGGGTTCCCTCCTCCATCCACAAGGATGTGACAGCACTAGCCTGTGAAAGCGCACAGGCGTGGTAAACACCCTCTCCACGCTGTCCACACGGATAACTGTCATCTGTCTTTCCCACGGGTGAGCGTGGGAGGGCAGGCTCAGGAACATTTCCACCAGTACACGGCATCCCGTGCTTCAGCCTTGGCACACAGTGCCAGAGGAACCTGTCCTTGGAACACTTTGAAGCCACACTGCAACAGGGCATGTACAACATCTCCTGCTCTGCTCTCCAGCCCTTGCCCCTTCCAATCCCCTATTCATTGTCACTGCTATCCTCTCCCAAGTCCTGCCTTGAACACCCACTCAGGACAAATCTATGCCTGGAAAAATAGACCTCTGCCTGAGGATTTGCAGTGGTAAAGCTACAAAGGTTAAAAAAAAAAATCACACAACCCAAATAATTGTTTATCAGCACTGCTATTTTACTGCTGTAATTATGAAAAGGAGGAATTCCTCTGAACTATTAAACACTTGGCTCCAACCACTGAATCAAACTTATTCCAAGGCATTCTTTATTGGATGACTCAGCTTTTTCCGAGTCTTACAAAAACCAGGACTTGAGAGCTTTGCCACCCAGAAACCAAAGGAAGCTTCCATGAAACCAGCAAACACCTCCCATCTTCTCAACATTGTTATTAAAAAAGCAAAACAAACCAGAGAGGTTCTACAAGTCAGCCTATAAACCCAGTCATGAGGAGAGTAGTGTCAGTGGTAATGGGGCAAGAAAGGCAGGGTAATTATACCACACCAAATTTGCAATCGTGCTGCATTCCTTGCTGGTGAAGGCCAGCTAGGAATTAGATACACCTTTTTAAATCATCAAAGGGAGTGGCTGCAAGATACAAGGTGCTGGGATTAAGATGAAGTTCTGGGTTTGCCAGTTCTCAGCAATGGCTTTGGGTGGCTGGGCTGGGCATGTCATTAAATGCTCCCAAACGGTGTTCACACCATGTCACTTCTTTTTAATCTTTCTATAATTCTCTGCATTTCAAGAGTCCCAGGCTCCCACTGGGCAAAAGGCTGTACAAACCAAGAAACTGAAGACAATACCTATCCAAAAGGGTTTTTTTCACTTGGTCAACCGGACGAGTCTGGTAAGTTGTACCTCAGCACTGTTTCAGTGGCGCACAAATATTTATCATGTTGCTCCAGCTACGACAAGGTCTGCAAGCTCAGGCCCTCAAGCATGAAAACTCAAGAGCTTCCCTGCCAAGAAGGCTGTTAAAAATACTGAATGGGAAAAATACTATTTTGTGAAGACAATTTAACAAGGACTACATGAGTGAGGGAACAGATTTGGCTCAGACCTCTCCTTTTTCAGAACAAGTGCAGGAGTTTAGGTGCAGCACTCACCCTGCAGATCTTTGCAGAGGGGCTGGGAAGCTGGGTCTCAAGGAAGCCCCTCCATGGGTGAGAGGCATGGTGCTGCTGTTCCAGAAATGGAACCCTGCTCCACAGCCTGCTGGGCAATGCAGAGGCGGGTAATCTTCTGTTGGAGAACATCTCTCTTGGAGAAACCACAGGAGTGACCATCACACAGGCAGGACAGCGGCACACAGAGGCAGAGCTTCTGCTCTGGCTGCCTTACCTTGTTGGTAGTGAACACGGGATTCTCAGTGCCCTCCTAGGCTGTTACAGGATAAGAGGAGAACGAGGCAGAGAAACAGAAAGGCACAGACCACTAGAGCCTTAGAAACTCATGAATGTCCTCTCCCACCGTAATTTCATAGTGCAGGTTGTTCCAGACAATCCACGGCCAACAAAATAAATGCTGCATTTGTGCTAGTTTTTGGAAAACATGCCAAAAAGACAAACACAAGGCAAAGCAGCCAGCCAAATAGACAAGTCTTGCTATTTAATTATTTTGAAATGAAAAAGTTCAAATTAAAACCAGCTACAAAACAAAGACATAATGATTACCTCTCTCTTCATAAGTTTGTGCTTTGGCACAAATAACTGGCTGGCCTGATTTTATGTCCAATGAATTTAATCTTATCCAACAAAGTGGCTCCCTGTACAGCACAAAAGACAAGGGGTTCTGAAAAAAGCTCTTGGGACAATGTGTAACACCATACAACTAAATTAAACAAACAAACAAACAAACAAACAATAAACCCAAACAAAAATCAAACAAACTTGGGGTGATTTCTGTTCCCTCTTAGGCCAGCAGCAAAAAAAAGCGTAATGCACTTGGCATCAGACTGTGGTGAGGTGAGCAGCACACAGGAGCTGACAAAACCATCAAGCTAACTCCAGTTCCACTTTGCAGTGAACTTGTGAATGCACTCACCTCCCCACTCGAAAGCCAGCTGTTTGTGTTGTGTGATGGGTTCATGTTACTGCACTATTGATGAATTCAGGCTCTTGGCAGTATACGAGCAAGATGCTTTTCCATGCGGTGGCGGCTGACACCCAGTGATTCGGCATGAAGAAAAGAGCCTAGTGGTTTTTCCCATGCTGACGCCTGGGCCACAGGGATGCTCGCTGCCCTCGTGCCCAGCTGTGCTGGTACACCTGAAGAAGCCATGACATGACATGAGCTGTATGCTCAAACACAAACTTCTGTGAGGCATCTCCAGCTGGGCATCCAGAGATGAAAACATCCCCAAATTAGTGGGCACTGCTGAAAAAGTTAGCCAAGTGCCTAAACACTTGCACAATCTGTACTTATGCTCAGTACCTCTTGATTTCTCAAATGGCATCACCCACTGATTGCAAGCGTTTCCCAACGGACACAGTCATATTGAAACCCTAAATATTGCAGTGACTTAGCTTCTTCCACTTCACTTTACTCAATGTAATTAATCCCCACAGAGCCTCAGAGGAAGGACAGAGGCATCCACCAACCCAGCCCCAGTGTGCAGGTGAGAGGCACGAAAAGCCAAGGGACCTGTGTGGGATCCTGCAGAGCACAGGCCAAGACCATCTGCTGTGTCACGTTTCTGAAGAGATACTCATGCCATCAAACCCCAGCCGTGAGGAAGCGGGAAGAAAGCCTTCCTCAATTCCCCCCCGCCCAAGACCCTGAACTCGTCAACACGATCATTACAGCATGTTTGGCGGCACAAGTCACCCCTGCTGTGGTCCAGGCGAGGGATTCCTGGCGTGGCACGGGCAGGGCTTGGTGGCCTCGGCCGGTGCTCCCCCGCGGACACCGCCGCGTTGCATAACTACGGACACCGCATGCCAGTGGGAGCTCCCCGGCATCCACCGGCTTATGCAATTAGCGCGCCCCGCCGGGAGGCTGCGGGGACGGCGGGTTTGGGCTCCCCTCGCCCTCCGGCGGGAGCGCTGCCCACCCACCCTCTGAGGGTCCTCGCCACGGGGCACGGAGGGGAGCGGGGTGGGGGGGTCATTTCGGAGCGGCCGAGACACCTCTGGAGAAAGGGAGTCATCCAGGACACCTCGCCTCCGCCAAGGTGTCCAAGCTCAGACATAAAGGTGCTCCCTGACACGAGGGGCGTGGGGCTCCCGTGGCCGCTCTCCGGGCATCCATCACCTGCAGGTGCCAGGTGAGGGTCCCGGACCCCGCCAGGCCGGGCCCACCGCCGTCCCCGCACCGCCGCAGCGGGCCGGGGTCCCCCCTCTGCCCGAGGGCCGGGCCCCGCCGCGGGGCTGCGGAGCGGAGGAAGCGGCAGCGGCCCCCGCCCCGCCCTGCCCGGCTCCCCCTCGGGCCAAGGGCTGGGCTCCCCGCCGGGCGAGGCAGAGCCAGCCTGCCACCTCCCCTCCTCCTCCTCCTCTTCTTCCTCCTCCTCCTCCTCGCCTTCGTACTTCTGCACCGGCTCCGCTCGGGCTCCGCCGCTGCCCCTCCGCCGCCGAGGCTGCCACAGAGCCCCCCTCCCTCCATCCCTCCCTCCCTCTCCCTCTCCCCCGCCCTCCGCCCTGTCCCCAGCGCCGCCGCCGCCGCCGCTTCCACAAGATGGCGGGGACCGTGGCCGAGCGGGACGCGCTGGTGAGTGCGGCTTCACCCCCAGCCCGGGCACCGGCACCGGCACCGGGACGGGGCCGGGGGGGCCGGGCAGGGCACCTGCGGAGCGGGGCGGGGGCGGGGGGTGCTGCGCCTGGCCCTGCCTCAGCGCTCTCCTTTCTACCTGCAGAAAATAGAGGACGGGCATTTAAACAACTCCCTGGGATCCCCGGTGCAAGCTGATGTGTACTTCCCTCGCCTGGTAAATCACCTTTATTTGGTTTCTTTCTTTTTTTTTGGGGGGTGGGGTGGTGGGCGATATTTTATTTTTTTAACCCCTTTACTCCCCCCCCATCTTCTCCTCGCCGGCCGCAAAACGGCGGCCGCTGCTGATGCCGAGCTGACCCTCGCCACCTTCCCCCTGTCCTTTCCAGATCGTCCCCTTCTGTGGGCACATCAAAGGAGGAATGCGGCCGGGAAAGAAGATCTTAGTTATGGGCATAGTGGACCTCAACCCCGAGAGGTAACACCTGGGCCCAGGTGGGGGGAGATGGGGAAGCGACCACACGCACGTACACACAGACACATACACACGGATCCCTGCTTTCTGGAAAGGATTATTTTTATCATTTTAAATATAGCATGCTGATTTCTCCTTTGACCCATAGAGGGGGCATTTCTTCAAGGGATCCCGTTTTCACTTGGGAGTAAAGGAGCGTATAGAGCATATATACATGCATATACGTACACATATATGCACAACGCCATGCGTACACACACACACACATATATGTATGCCATAATCATGTTCCTGTGACTGCTGAGCTTTCATGCCGTCATGCTGTCATGCCCCCTGTGCCGCTATACCAGTGGCTTTAATAAGCTGAGATATGAGACTGGGCGGCATTTGGGGCTTGTTTGGGTTTTTTTTTGGCTGAACGAGAGCCGTTCTGTTTGTGTTGCAGCTTTGGCATCAGTCTGACTTGCGGGGAGTCAGAAGATCCTCCTGCGGACGTAGCCATAGAACTGAAAGCTGTGTTTACAGACAGACAGTTTGTCAGAAACTCTTGTGTAGCCGGAGAATGGGGGGAAGAGCAGTCATCTATTCCTTACTTTCCATTTATACCGGACCAGCCTTTTAGGGTGAGTACCAGGATGACAGCGGCTTACACCATATCTGATAAAGTGTCATTTGATCTGAGTTGCAGCAGAACCTGACTTGGCTTTCATGAAATCACAGTGTAGCCCACACTGCTCCTGTTGAGACACCAGTTGCTGGTTTGTTTGTATCCATCAAACGTTGTGCAGGGATCCTGCTGCTTACGTGCAGCTGCAGGCAGTTCGGATGGGGCTGTGAACACCTCACCTGGCCGCTATGACAAGTCAGAGGTTGTAATACTGTGTGATGAAGTCCAACTTCCTGAGCTTAGTTTTATAGCTATGTATTAAAAAGCACCTCTATGTTATTAGTGCATTACAAGTTATTACTGGAGAATGTAAATACTCTGTGGGACTGCTGTATGTTTTGATGGTTTTTTTAATGGACATAGCGTTTGCAATTTAGTGCGACTAATAAGGATCATGTTCATCCTTTGTCTCCAGGGATGTTCCGTAGAGGTTGACCGTAGCTCTCTGTGTTAGCAGATTAAATGGCTAAGCAATAGTGGTATTCTTTCCTGAACCTTGGGATTAAACCTCGCATCAAATTTAAGTCTGTAGTCACTTGAAAATGGTGTTCTGGGAAACGCTGTGGATGGACTGGGTTGACCTAGAAGCAGATTCCCATCTGTAGTGTTTATGGTTACGTGAAGATGTCTTTGCAAATCAGGACTAACAAAGTATGTGGCTGCAGAGGGCTGCTTCACTACATTGAGAAAAAAAGGCTGCATGCCTTTTCCATGCAGCTGACCCAGAAAAACCTTCCTTCTCCTCCCTGCCCCTCTTGCAAAACCTCACTGGCCCCTCTGCTAAATGCCAGTGCTCAGACCAGCTGCCAAACTCTCTTAATCCTTCTTGCCCCCAAGATAATCTCCCCCAGCCCCAAAAGCTCACCATCTCCCCAGATGCTTGGGCTTTAAGAGGGTGTTCACGACTGGTTTTGCTGCAAATTGGTTGCGCTCTACTTGCTTCTACAAACCCTCCCATCAGAACTGGCAGCACCCTTTGGTGGTGTGGGAAATGCACTTGAAAAGGCTTGGAGGCCGGGTCCTGCTCTAGCTGAGAGGGTTCCACTGCTTGCTGCACTGGGTGGTGACTTGGGCCCTCAGACGAGCCAGACAAATTACGCAGAGCATGTTTTGTGGGTGTCCCACTAATGGCAGTTGATGTTGGAGGACAGCAGTATCACACGTTTACTGTGAGATACTGTAGAAAGGGAGTTGTTCTTTCCCCCCCCTTTTCTTTTTTTTTCTTTTCTCTTTTTTTTCCCAAATGAAATTTAGGCTCCCAATTGACTTTGTACCTTTGATGGTCTCCCTCTCAGTGAATAAATTAGACTATTAAGTGTTCTTGCCAATTACTTGTGGCCCAGTCCAATTATCATTCCGGCGTGGCCCCGGGTGATCTGGAGAAGCGGACTGTGAGCAGGGTTGAGGGTAACCATATCTTTTACATAACAAGGCCTCGGGCTGGCTGCGCCTGCCGCAGTGACACAGGAGCTACGTGGCAGCACAGGCCCTTCCCTGGTGCTTGGTGCACTACCAGGTGTCCAGGAGTTTAAGCTCTCCTGGGCTGTCAGCTGCCACTTCTCCCAGTGCGACGTGCTCCACGTCAGTTGGGCTTTGGCTCAGTCAGTTTGTCACCCCCTTCGCATTTTTATATGCTGCAATAGCAGCAAAGTCAAGTGCCTGGAAGCAGCACTTCACTCTGGACAACCTCTTGAAATGACCCAGGATTTGCATGTGGCTCCCCTGCAGATTTTCTCCTTAGCCTGTCCAGACCCAGAGGTCTCCAAAGGCCCGTACAAGAAGTGCGTGTTCTGTGCCCTCATGTCCCTGGTTCCTGCTGGGGCAGCTCTGGCAAAGCTTAACAACAGGACACACTCTCAAGCCACCCCTAACGTCAGGAATCTCCCAACCTGTCCAAGCTTGTTCAGCTCCAGGCTTTGTTGCTTTTCCAGAGCATTTCTGCAGGTCTCTCAGGAGGAGGGATGAGCTGTGTCCCTCCCTGATCCGGTTTGTGCCTCGTGCAAACTGCCCAGCTGAATTCACAGCTCCTTCACTGCAGCCCAATGATGGGGTCTAGTCCAACAGGGAGTCCTGGGCTGTCTGCAGCCACAGGAGTGAAGGCTTTTTAGTTTTGCAGGAGCTGTGTATATGTGGGAGGGAAGGACAAACCTATCTCTGTGCTCCATATTCGCTCCCTTTCAGTAAATTAACAGTAGTGTGGAAAGCATTGCAGAGGGAAATGTCACCTTATTCTGCAGAAAAAAGGGGGGGCGGGGGGGGGAAGAAAAAAAAAAAACACCAAACCAGTAGCAAGGAATGCAAGGTTTGGGTTGGAGATACAATTTCTTCCTCCTATGATTAGCAGTTTGAGTCTGTTTCTGGCATTATTCCAAGAGGCGAAACCTCCCAGTAGCCAGCGGGACTGGGTTCCGGTGTGCTTACTGCTCCGACAGCGTGAGATTGGATTAATGTCCCTGTGCAGAAAGAGCAGATCCATCACAGTGCAACTGGTGTCAAGGGGGAAAACTGGTCTCAGGCCTGGCTGTTGCGTGCCACATTAGTAGCACCATGTGTAACTGCACTAACACTACTTAAAGTGCTCTTTGTGTGCTGTGAAACAACTTTCCAGTTACACTGCGAACAACACGCTTTAACATTTTATCTTTTACAGGTTGAGATACTTTGCGAGCATCCCCGTTTTAGAATATTTGTGGATGGACATCAGCTCTTTGATTTTTACCACCGTATTGAAACACTGTCAGCAATTGACACAATAAAGATAAATGGAGATCTTCAGCTTACAAAACTGGGCTGAGCTTGTTAGGACTGCAGATTCCAAACCAGCTCAGGTGCCATCGTCCGTTTGGAGCAGTGACAGCCAGCTCTGGACACAGCTATGGTAGGAAGGCTGCCCTGTTCCTTTTCCGCATGCAGTTCTTCACTCCTGTGCCGATGAATTGGGCTGGTTTTTATCCTAATGAAGAGCACTGTTGGTTAATAGACATTGAGCCATTTTTCTTGGATCAAAAAAGCCCACCTGTGCTGGATAATCAAATTGGAATGGATTCAGAAAGACTTGCAGTCTTTGTTTCAAATCTCACAGAAATACAGTTTCTGAAATGCAGCGCTAAAACCGGTTACTGAACAGTAGTGACAACAAAAAACGAGTTTTTCTTTTGCAAGTATTGTTTCTGCACTGAAGTGGAGTAGTGTAGCACAACATAGGGCCACGTGCTGACGTCCTTACCTGGGGCCTGAGCCTGGTTCCATGGAAATCAATGGCAAACCTCCCACTCACTTTAACGGGGTACAATCAAACTGTCTAGTCCTTAGTCAAGCACAATTCCCACTGATTTCTATGGCATTTTTGCACACACCTTGGGGCCTGCTGTTCTGCTGCTGTAAATCAGCATTAGCCTCACAGCTTGCAGTGGAATTCTGCTGATTGCTCCCAGCTGCTGGTTTGGCCCAAGGGCTGTGCAAAAACTGACTGAGGGTGTGTGGACACAGCCTGTGTATTTTAGTCAGGGTATTTGCATAGAATGTAGGTCGTTATGAGTTTTTGCACAACGTATTGTTAATACAATTTTTAAAGCTTCTCTGTAGTTTATTTATTTATACTCATTGTATGTATTATTAGTAAAAAATGAACAATCTTACTGGCGGTTAAGAACGGCAAAGTGTAAACATTCTGAATGTACAAAATGTCTGAGATTCTTTGGGTAAACTTTACATATCGTTCTTGAAAAAAACATGTTTTCCTATTGAACATTTAATTATGTTTTAGTGGAGCCCTCTAGGCCCTGGGAAAATGTGGGCATGGTAGCTGGTGGGGGGGGAACTCTGCGTATTCACTAGGATCTGTTTTTCAGGGCTTACTAACTTTGCTGCACAGGATAGGTTTGAGTTGAAGTCAATCTGTTTTAAAAACTTAAAAACCAAATTTGTAGGTTTAACTGTGCTTTTATAACCCAAGAAGAAGTTAAATTTGGCAATCTCTTAGTTCAGAAAGAGAACCAGGCTCTTTCCAAGGGAGATGGGAGATTCTTTACACTTGTTTGAGAACATATTCGGCCTTTGATATGACAATTAAAACTTGTCTAGACAGCCAAGTTATTAATGCTTGAAAATCAGCTACTGCACATGAATAATAACTTTTCAAGTAGCTTTTAAAATAGTAGGTATAGCTGTATAAACACAGTCATTGCGCTACACTATAAATGAACACAGCCACTTTCTTGACTTCTTTAGGACTAAATACACTTTTTTCCTTGGCTGCTCACAATGGACTGTAGTGGGTCTTTCTGAGTAGTTATAATCATGATATAAACATACATTTAGGCAATTTTGAAAACACATAATATAGGGACTAAAACACAGACTATAAAAACCATCCTTTGTAGCACAGTATTAAAAAAAAAAAAAAAAAAGAGAAGAATCTCACAAACAGAACTGTGTTAAACCTGCAATAAAACTGTGGTTTAAAGCCACCAGAACTGGAATATCCAAAGTTAAATGTAGAATGCCAATGCAAAGCCTCATTTTGTGCTAATTTGGCCTGCAGTTAAGAAGCCTTAGACTGCAAGCTGAAATTCCGACTGTGGCTCTAGTCCAAAGCCTGTTGAGGTCAATCAGAGTCCTCTGAACATAGAAGTCTGATTCTTATTTCATGCAAGCAAGTGCAAATCTCTTTGTAAAGCTGGGGGTTGTTGCTGCTGCAACAGGTGAATTAAGAATCAGGCCACCTATAAAATACAAGTTAAAAATTCAATTTTTAGCCTTAACATTTGACACTCCCGACTTTTCTTCCTGCTTCCAAATTAAGAGAGAACTCGTTTTCCAGGTGACTTTTTTATCTGGTGTGTGGCTTTTAAGCTTTACATCAGATTCTATTTGTACTCCAGATTGAATTGAAATGTTCCTGTCTTGCTGTTTTTACTCTTTTACATGATACATGATGACTGTGTCATTTTCCATTGTATAAAGAATGCTGACAGTGTTTCGGTACAAAATATATTCTTAAAAATTATGATAATAAAAATCTGAGGGAAAGGTGCTTCTACATGAGGTGTTTTGGATTCTTCTCCAGCTTGGAAATGATCTGTGGTTCCAAAGCTGAGGCAGGCAGAAGATATTTGGAGAGAAATTTAGCACCCCCTGTGCCCAGTGCTTTCTCTCAGCTGGATATCTAAAGCCAGGTTTGCTGATGCAGGGCAAGTGCCTGAAGCCAGAAGTAGGAGGCAGGAGAGAGTAAGTAGCACCTCGACCCTACAGTAGCTCTAACCCAAAGGGAATCTCCCTGACAGCACACCGGTAGAGGTTTCCCCTTCCATGCCTTTGCTGTATTCCCAGGAAAAGCAATTTGGCTGCCTTGAATTTTCACAGCCCTCACACTCCTGCACGGTCTCGGCACAGCACAGTGCCTGCACCAGGGATGCTGAGATGGACTCGGTGCACCACCTGTCAGTGGCATCTCTGGTTGGAGCAAGGGCCTGCTGATCCTGCCTTGCTCTTCTTCCCACCTGCTGTGCTGGGCGTTCCCATTTGTTCCTGCTCCAGAAATTTTCTGTCTGGGGAAAATGCGCTTTTTTTTAACCCTGTTTCTGGTTTTGCCTCTGCAACCACAGCACCCACCACCTGATCCTGCCCCGCTGTGGTTTCTGAGCCAGGCTTCAAGGCAAGAAGGGCTGTGAACCCTCTACTGACGCGTTGCGGTTTGGCTTAGAGCTCAGGGCAGAAAGTCACAGTTAAGGCTTCCACATCCATCTATCTATTTATCTATCTGTCACCTGCTTGGAAGCCTTTTTATTTTTCTTTTGCTCTTGGGCACTACCAGGCCATGGCAGGTGAAAGAAGGATTATGTCTATGTCACCAAGGGCTGTTTCCACAGGTGCTTGGCTTACACTGCCTAATCACGTTAAGAAGCAATTGCAGAACACTTGCATGTGCAGTGTAAGTCAGAGAAAACTGAGGCCTTAACTGTTTCTGCTTAGTTGGACCTGTCAAGTGTTTAAGGTAGGAGACTGTGCTGCAAAATTCATATCTGAATTTTTAGGTCTCCACAACTTAGGGATTATTCAGATCTTCATTTTGAATATAAACCCTAATAGACCTGAAGTAAAGACTGTTTCCAAATTGGGCTAGGTGTTTCAGTAGAGACGAGCAGTCTGTGAGCTTCTTGGAAGCTGCAAATCTTCAGGACTTAAGGAGTGTGTAAAGCAACTTTTGAAACCTTATGCTAAAATTTATTAGCTGAATATTTCTGCGGTTTCCTCTGAGTGAGGAAGTTGATTCTGAAATTAAAAAAGTCTTGAATGGGTAAAATCCATGTGCAGTGGAATCACTAAACTTAGCATAGCTTTATTTTTTCCAAAGAGGAAAAACTAAAAACTTTAAAAAAAAAAATAAAATCAAAACAACCAAACCAAAAGAACCACAACCAAATTATTTAATTTTGTTTGGGATTGGCTGTGATAAAGCTGATTTGATTTTAAAAAAACCCCAAAACTAGGTTATTGCCTACTCAGAGCCTTGAAATATTTCAGTGTCATGTGAGGTAGTCTTGTGTCTAAACACATTTCACATAAACGCTTTTTCACAGGCAAGTTGTTAAAAATGTTACAAAATACCTTCTTTTTGTGTCACAATTAAGAAATGTTTGCCCCACCTTGAAAGAACATTTTGTACTAAATATTCATATGTTGTCTATGAGAACTTGCACTAACATATTATATTCTCCCTCCCCTCCTTAACTAGTTTGAGCAGAAATAGGCGTAAATATTGCTAAACCGGTTGAATGTGACATCTGCTTGGGGCCTTGCACCTTTCTCAAGGGCTGCTTTGAGTAAACAGCCTGGAAACCAAAGGGAGAGCCTGATTCACCATTCTGCTGTGCCAGCTTTCCACCCTTGTCACTCTCCTGCTGCGAGGCTGAGCCTGAAGCCCAGAGATTTTCATGTAGGGAGCAGCACTGAGATTTTTATCTTTGGATATCCAACTATTCACTGTGGAGGAAACAAGACCAGAGTAGCCACAGCGCTCTTCAGCTTGGTGGTGAGGTTGGGGTAGCATGACGTGCTTTAGCCCTAACAGAGCAGGAGTTCAGAGGGCATTGGTGGGCATTTCAGAGCCAGACAAGAGCTCAGGCTGTGGAGATGCAGGACAGCTTCCCAGGGATGGGCTTTTGCCACATTTTTATTTGCCACCTTCTGCAACCCCCTTCCAGGACATATGGCAAAAATCCAGTGTTGCTTACGAGCTTGGAAGGCATGAATGGGTTCATGTTCTTACTCGTCTGATGTAAGAGAGGCTCCCAAATAAATAATAGGAAAATTTAGGAGTAGCCATGCCACTAGGTGTTTTTTCTCCCACAGACATTCAAGCAGCATTTATGTGATGTGGGGCTCATTTCGCCTGCTGTCCACAAGAAGTATTCCCTGCAGAAAACTCCAGCACTGTTTTCTGCACTAAGGCTGGTTACAGAGACCTTTCCAGGCCGAAAACTGCAGAACCACAACTCTGCTGAGCCAGTTAACAACCTCCCAGCACCCCTGGAATTAATATGACAGTATAAGGCACAAGAGTCAGGCTGAAGGCAGCCCCAGATACTCACTGTGATAAGCACAGAAGTTCAGAGGAAAAGCTTACACCAGTCTAGGAACAGTAAGTGACCTGGGGAGGGTTTTTTCTAATCATAGGTATTGTTCTGCTTTTATCATGTGGATCAGAAAGTGTACAGGTGAAAGTCACTTTGCAATGAATGGTGTGCGGGGTTAGAACCAAAGCCAACCCAAATAGGGAGAAAAAATGAGCTGCAGACGCCCTATCTGGCTTTGATACACCCTCCCAGCTCCTCCCAGCAATCACTGCTGTTAAGAACACAGACAATTACTAGAACAAGGAGATTCAGCAGCATGTGCAAGATCTAAATAATAAACTCCTACTCTGCCACAGGTCCTCCCTAGCTCCTGTTGCTAGGCCTCTCCATCTGTCTGTCAACAAATAACCATGTCCTGCTGCTTTTAAAATCCATGTCAAAAATCCCTTTGACTTTCATGGAAATAGGTCCCTAATGAAAGGGTTATTTCCAGCTCTCACTCTCCAGTTATTTTCAGCTGGGGCATACTCTAAAACGGAGTTTATTTTTAAGTGTGAATAGAGGACTATTTCTGACTGCATTATACATTGGGTAGAGTCAACAGGAAGCACAGCCTCTCTCTGCTGCAGAAACACTGGTTTCACAGTTCCACAATGAAATGTCTTGTTTTCATTACCTTCTGATTTTACAAAGTGAGATTGTGCACGAAATGACGGGGCAATAACAGTAATATGTGCCATTCACCACAGATCTATTTTTATGTGTTGTGCTGATTTCATAATGAACTTTTAATAACAATAAAACATGCAATCTTCACTAGGTTGTTCTGTCTTCTGTCTGAATTATTAATGCTCATTACATACCCTCTTGACTTCTCTAACTTCTGGCTTTTTTTGTCTTCTGACTGTTTTCCAGATGTAGCTAACTCTTTCCCTCATAAAACTGTAGTGTGAAACTTCAGAATGGGATGTGCAGCTTTGGCAGCAGCTTGTGTAAAACTGTTTTACAGCTTAAATGCACTATACAGAATAATCAAATAACTTCATTAGAGGAAGTTCTTGCTGACTCTTACAACACTCCTGCTGACATCACTGGGCAGTGTAAGCCTCAGGAATTAACAGGCACGACTCAGACCTCACAGCCAGGCCGTGAGAACAGGTCACTGATCACTTTTGCACAGGATAAAACAGCAATTTAACTCACACGTGTTCCAGCTCACCCTGGCGGGACTGGATTCATAGGCGAGTGTTATGTGGTAAGTAAAACCACCAAATCAGCTCCAGACACATTATTATGAGTGTTTTGCTTGTTAGCATCATCTTAACTGAAGTTCACATTAGCCTGATTAAATGCAAGAGGAAACCGTAAGGTATCAGCTCCTTTCAGTTAAAGTTACTGGAAAAATTCTGTATGACCCAAGCGGGAAAGGATTATTCCCTCCATCCAGTCGTGGCTGTAGAAAACAAGTGAGGTTTCTGAGGGAAACCTCAAAATTCAAACAGCACTAAAGCAGCAGATGAACAGGATTTGAATACAGTTAGTTCTGTGGTTTTTTTCTCCCAATAAAATGACTGTGATTCAGATGCTCCACATGAAGTTCATCTTACCTCTAACCCATGAGCATCAACCTGTGGCCATCCCTGCTCAAAGCAGCCCGAGATTGGCCCTTCGTTCACTACACATGACTCTAAGAGGGGATATGTTGACATCTGAAGATTCTGAGGTAAAACACAGCATTTGGTAACCTCGATACAAAACAGAAATGGCTGTGAATGGTGTAAAAGCAGCATCTATTCTCCATCAGACAGCAGAACTACAGCATCTGAAGTGCCTGGGAGTGATTTTCAGAAGACAGAATAGATACATCGAATTTTACCTCTTGAGTGGGCTAACTCCTACAGAAAGCTCTCATTTGACCTGTAATACTGAGTAAACTACAGGTATGAGTCTTGGGAAAAGGCAAAGCACCTCATGTGTCAAGTACCATGTGTACTTCTCTCCCGTTCAGATCAGTGCTGCGAACACCTCACTGCTGGGCCTTATTTTGGTTTCTGAGCTTCAAGCCAAGCCAATTCATGTTGAGTGATTTACTCGCAGGAATACCATGAATATGACTCTTTGCTAGCACTGCACTGGATTTTATTTTTAAATTATGACTTTCACCACTCTTCTAAGAATAGAGGCTGGCTCTGAAACATCACATCGGCTCCAGCATTCTCTGAAAGCTACACATTTCTCATCCTGTTCAGGTTTTGAGGTTTCAGTTTCCTCACTGGTGCCTTGCTAGACCAGGGCTGTGATGCCAGGAGGGGTTATTCTGTGAAAGACCCTGACAAGGAGGCGTCTTTCAGCAGCACTCTTTGGCAGAAGGAGACCCGCTAGTCTCCCCCAGCAGTCAGGAGCGACAGCAAACCAAAGCTGTGCTGACTCCTGCTTGGCAGGACAGGGCTTCCTTGTGACTCTGAGAGGCTGGAACAAAAGCCAGTTAATTAGAAAAACTTCACTGAAGCTGAACAGTAAATCTGAGCAGCAAAGAAGAGGGTTTCAGAGCTAAGCAATCTGATACTAACAGCAGAGCCACGCTCCCTTGGTGCCCAGAGGCCACGGGCAGGTGTTGCTTCTAATGAGCAGAGAAACAAAGCTCCATTCTGTGGCCAAGCATGGATGAAGATGCTGGAGGTTTCTGACACTGTTCAGTGGCTCTGCCTTTGCCTGGCTCCAAAAACCCCTTTGATGGGCAAAAAGCCAGTGCTGACAGTATTGTAATGTATGACAAGCTCCAGTAGCAGCTCCAGCACTGCATGCTCCAAGAGGCAAAGAGGATTCTTTCCTCGCTGCTCTCTAAGAAATCTTCTGTTCATTTGGAAAGATAATAGCTGTCTAGAAGAGATACAAACCAGTAATAAGAGCAAAATGTGACTCTAGGTAGAAGAAACATTCTTAGGAAAGCAACAGATTCACTACAATCTCAGGGGGAAACAAAATATTTTAATTTAAAAGTACAAAGGCTTCAGCAAGGATAGGGAAGTTCCTTTTACACCCTATTTTTGGAAGAAAGAGATAATGAGCTACAGTGGGTATTAAACAGACTCAGAGGGGCAAAGGTGGGGGCAGATCTGGATTAATACATGGAGGCAGAACACGGCTTCCACATCTATTCCCCTCTGTTTCCACTTCCTTTTCTCAGGGATAGCCAGTCCTTTCCCTGAGAGAGAACCATTGATGGAGGAACATCAGAGAAACTTCTTCTGTGGCTTCAGATCTTTATGTGTCTTCTACAGACACTGACCAAGGTATACCTTATTTAGTGCTGCTCATTGAAGAACTTCAAAGCATTGACATAATATAAAATTCATGTTAATTCATGAATGGTCCTTGCCATTTCTAGTATTACTGCTGTCATCCTACAGGCAGAGAGAGGGAAGAACAGAGATGCACCAACCGTTTCTCAGCAATCAGTGCTGTAATTTGGAAGACATTGATTGGCACACAATGTCTCATCACTGTGACTTTTGGCTACAGCACTGAAGTTCAGGCTCCCAAGCCCCCTCCTTTGCTCACCAGGCAGACATGTTATTTTGGGACAGAATATACAATGGTAAGGTTGAGTAATGCTATACAGAGTAACTCCTCTGGGATCAGAGGTACTCTTTGTAATGTAAAATCCTTCCAAAATATGATTTTTTTTTTATAATAGTAAAAATGAATGGCATTCCGTCAATTTTTTCTGCAGCCTCCACTGGCGAACATTCAATTGCCATTTAAATAATGCAGAAGAGAAGCTGGAACAAGA